ATGGCGTCCGCCGAGGCTGGGAACTATGGCCGCCGGCCGGCCCACAGTCGTGCAACTGGAGCGCTCGCCGGATTATGACTAAAGCCCGACATTGTCACCGGCATACCGGCGGCTCAGGCCTCAGATGCGCAAAAATCGGCCGCTGATCCGGCCCCAAAAGGCGCTGTCAAAAGTGCGGCGCCGAGCGGCCGGCACGGAGCGCCGGGTCGTGACGGCCATTAGAGCGCGGCCGCTCCGCCATTAGGGCGGCGGGCTGTGAGTCAGGCCCGCCCGCCCGCCTGGGAGCTGCGCCGACACCGATTCCCAGCCCCAGATTCGAGCGGCGGGGACCGGTTCCGCGGCGACACGCTCGCTGCCACGACATCATGGCCGGCCGTCGAGCTGGGACGCCGCGCGAAAAACGGCCCACAATGGCGGCCGGCCGGGGACAGTCGGCGACAGGCACCGGCCCGGCGGCGCCGTGTCAGCGGCTGTGTCAGCGGGCGCAGGTGCATCAGATGGTGACTTCAGGACACCGAGGATCAGCCCCAGCAGAGCTGGGCTCATGAGAGATCATGTCGCTCTAAAGTTGACATGCTGCATCGCGGAACAGCGTTGATCAAAGAGGATTCTGCATCGTGAAATACTGCTGATCAAAGGGGATCTAGTCATGCGACTGTTAAATTTTCCACTTTTATGACGCATTAATACAGCTGGTTTAATATTTAAGGCGAGTTTTACCGATTTTCACCATTTCTCAATAACAGCCACGCAACCACACCACGCTGCTCTGTTTACGCTGCCCATAATGGAATATCGGCCGGATCCGTCGGCTATCCACCGCCTTGGGATATCCACTCGGTACGGCAGCGATTCACCACCTCGGGATACCCTCTTGGTACGATGGTGATCCTCCGTAATGGGATATCCGCTCGACTTATGGCGGCGATGCTCGGATCAACTCTCCGCAATCCGACTGATGCAAGCCGCTGGGTGGCTGACCGGTCGGCGGTAGCTCGCCGGGTGTCGGAGGTTGTTAGGGGGAGGGAGGAGGGATCTAGCGGGCCGCAGCGGCGCCCTGAGTCGTCCAAAGGCCCACTGCCGACCGTCTGAAAACGGTAACGGTGCCGATTTCCCAGTAACCACTGAAATACAACGGGGAGCGCCGAGCGAGTGTGTGAATTTCGACTCACAATGCCCACGTTTTGATGTGTTCAATGGTGATTTTTATTCAGACAACAGTGGCTCTTCCATTGTGCGATGCAATTCATTTCTTCTTGAAAGCTGTGTGCTCTAGTTCTGCTTCATTTATGCCACATTTTTACCAAACAATGTCTTTGTTGCGGCGAGTGGGCTTCTATGTTTGGCCCGATTGGTTGTCCTATTTTAAAGCATAACCTCTTCAGATCTCAGAACAAACCGTATAATTATTTGAGCAAGTGAAACGCTAAGCTTGTTTCACGAGGCCAGTGTGATTCAGGGATCACTGCACCCCGATGACGTCATCAATTTCCGGCTGGCCGACCCCGATCCCTGATCCATTACATCTGCTGGCTCTACTGCAGCGCGGCACGACCGTCCCACCACGGAGCCACGAACTCGGCGCGTGTGCGGCAAAAATGACGGGTTAGCTGATTAACTGCGTGTCGGGCTCCTTCAATGTTCTCTTGAAGGCCTTCGCATGGCCCCGCCCTTCGGCACGCACGTCTCAGAGCTGAGCAGATGAAACATTTTCACCCAACTGTGACCTCCAACTTCAGGGCTGAACGGAAATGACTTCAAATCCGTTCGTCTGAACGTCACAAACTTGGCCGGAAATGCACAAAATAAACTAACCAAGGTGTGGTGCGATTATGGCACTGTTTCGCAGACAACTTGACAACAGTTGTCAATGAACAGAGGTAAATGCCGCGTTCAGCTCATCACCGCGGCGGCCTTTCCCTGAGAGACACGGAAATTGGGCTCCGGCCAGGGGCGGAATTTTACCGATAGCTGAAATCGTGTCGACGGTGTTGGCTCGGGGTCAGTTGCAGCTCTCTGGTCGTGCACGACTACCGTGAGCGTGAGCTCCGTCTGCGGGTGCGGACGCTGTCTGTGAGAGTGGACTCTGCGAGCGCGGCCAGCGGGAGAGCGGGGTGCCGGCCAACGTCCAGCGGGACAGCGAGAGGTGTGAGCCGGTGCCGGCCGGCCAGCTGCCGCCGCTGCGGTCAGCAGAGGTGAATAACTCCACCAAACAGACACACGTTCTTAGGGTCAGTGGCTGATGTTAATTGATCCATTTTTACACTCACCTAGTCAATTTGTCTCTTCTCTAGATCCCTTTTTGGAAGCCATAGTTACTGCACAAATGTAACTTGCCTAGTGTCTTTGATCTCTGACTGCTGCAAAAGGGTTCGACTCTGTGCATTGTGTGCCGCACTGGCACGGTTGGCACCTCTGTGCCTCGGGGTGTTTACAATCAGCAGGTCTGGCCTGTGGTCACCGCTGTATCTCGGCGGGCACGGCTCAAGTTTGGCTGACACATCGAGCCTCGCCCGTTCTCGGCAGCCTGTTGACTAGCCGGCATTTGCATTAAGGAGGCCTTTGTGCATACAGAGAAGTTCCGATGACCGTTTTGGCACCCTGCGGTGCACGATTGTTACAGGAGCCCATGGTCTATTAAAAGAACACTGATGTTTGCTTTTGTCTGGTTTAGCGGTAGTCATTCGGCTGCTGTGGTTGGATGCTCGCACAAACCGCATTTCGGAAGTCTAGTTGGAAACAAAGATGCCTTAACCCGGCAGTTGCTGGGGTATTTCGCCACCCACCGTTTGCTGGGGGGGGGGGGGGCGTTAAACGCCCCCAGCCGATAACTCGAGAACCAATAGGTGCAGCGAAACGCACGAGGCGGCAAACGAAAGAACGCGACGAGACGCTTCAGATGAGTACTTTAAAGTTGAATTCTGAGGTCACAGGTCGGGTCAAGGTCAGGTCAAACACCTAAAATCGGGCTTTCAGTAGCATGGACTTCAGGACTTCGCAATGGGCGCCTCTCGTCATAAACTCTGTCAAAACGGTGCACAATCCATCATATAAGGCCTACAAGAGTGTCAGCTCCATGTAGGGGTCAGTCAAGCATAGGTCAGGGTCAAGGTCAGGTCAACCGGGCAGGCACATATCCCCGAAAATCAAAACTGATATTCGCAGCCTGTGACGCGTGTTTTATGGGTAATTTGGGGCGTAGAACACGATGGTGGCATTCATTGTATCATATGTGAACGTGTTTGGCTAAAAAAGTTCAATTTAAGAAATACATGTATCATGGTCATGAAGTAGTCACGAGAAATTGCCAAGATTCAGTTCAAGATTTTGGAAAATGCGGAACGATAATCAATAATCGAAGATTGCCATTTGATTGTTCATGGTATTGGCAGTCTAATGGCGTTTACGGCATGTCTGTATGTCTATTCTGTGATTTTATATGATTTTTTGAACATATGCCGTTTTTGGTCGAAAACTCAGAAATCATGACGTCACTAAAACCTCGATATCTCAAAAATTTCCCGACTGATTTTTTTGAAACTTTGTCACAATAAACTTTAATCAATTCCCTACAGGTACCCAAAATTTGGCGCGCCTGCGGCGCGCCGTTTTTATGCTATGGCCCGGCGAACAAAGTGGGGGCGTTTAACGCCCCCCCCCCCCCAGCAACTCGCGGGTTAAAGTGTTCAGTTGTTCTTCCTATACTGAATCACTGATTTCATAGTGAAATTTGAATAAGTTTTGTTCGAGGCTTTTAGTAGGCGCTTTAGGCAAAGTTGCCATCATTGATCAGCAACTTTTGCATATTATTGAAAAATGCGGTGTTTTATGTGTACCTAGTTTGTTTAAGTTGTCAGTCACTGCAGCGCCGGCAGAGAGCCGTTTTCGCTCGGCGCCGCGGCTGGGCCGGTGTTGGCGGTGGAACATTGGCAAACAGTCAGTCACGGCGAAGGTCAGACTGGGGCCGGTCGGTCCGATCTGCAACCTCTGCCGCCGTTCCCAGCGGCCGCTCCGTGGAGAACACGATATCAGGCCGACCATCGCGTAAAAACGAGCCGTTTCATGAAGCCTGCGACAAAAACGTGTCCCTTTGTCAGGCGCTGTGTTCCCGGTACAAGTAATGAGTTGCATATGCTACACAATCGTCACCAGATGCTCGGTCATTTGTTTGCGGGCGCTACATCGCAGGACAGACAAGATAGCAAGGCCGGACAAGAAAAACTGCCGGGAAAATGATAAAAAATGGCCGGTTAACTCGGGAAATTCTGTTGCCGGTGTTGCTACAGGGAGGAACAAGAGTCGTTGGCGGCGCCCACCGTTCCCACCCTGTTCGTCCTGTATGTACCGAGCTGAACGGGGTACAACGTACCGCTGAATGATGTCTACGAGTCAGCGCTTGTTATATTAACGAGTATGGCATACGTGAGTCACTGGGGCATGCATGCAAGTTTAAAATATTATTCAGCTTCAAATTAAATTTAATCATAGCACGTCCGCTTCCAATGTTCTGACGACCGCTCCTCACTTCGGTACTCTTTCAAAAGAGCCGTTCTTTCCATCGCGAGTGACACCTCTTGGTCTACCGCCCGGAAGTACCGGAAGATTACACCACCAGCACGGTCTCCCACGCGAGTCAGCACCCGACCCGACCGGACCACCTGTCCCAGACGGGATGCCGACCATAAATCTTATAACCCGCCGGGAGCACGCGCCGGCCGCGACAGCAGGACGGGACGGTGGGGGCACTTGGCGGCGTCTGCGGCTCTCCGCAAGTCGCTAATCCTCTCATCCGACCACACCGATTTGTAGGGGGCAGAGTCGCTTCACTCGTGCGTTATCGGGATGTGGTAGGGCGTGAACCACTGCCGTTATGTCCCACAGTGTCTCTCCAGTCCCGATGCCACCCTGTTTGGGGTAGATGAAGCGAGCCGGCGGGGAGCGGCGCTGACTAGCCCCGCTGTTGACTCTGCTGACTGGTCCGGTGCCTCTGTGTGTTGCAGATGACCTGATGATGCTGCCAGCGGATCTCCAGGACGTCAACATTGAGTACTTTCCAGGCCACTCCCAGCCCCACTGTGAGTACCCGCTGAGACGCCGGCTGCATAACTTATTATTGAAATGATTGTTTATCTCTCTTCCCTTTCCTCTTCTCTCTCTCCCTCTCTCTCTCTCTCTCTCTCTCTCTCTCTCTCTCTCTCTCTCTCTCTCTCTCTCTCTCTCTTCCGTGATTCCCTTTTGTCGTTCGCCCTCTTTCTCCAGTCCTTTCAATTGCGGCAAATAAATTGTATTGACATGTATGAGGAATAACTTGTCTGTTCCTTTTTCGTTCCGAAGCTAAGTGGTTCCTAATTGCACCATTTAACAAATGTCTTTCTTTCAGACCTAACACCAGTGGAGGCTACAACAACTCTGGATGCTCCAGCGCGCTTCACCGCCAGTCATTCGAGTGAGTCACACTCTTAAAACGTTTGATTTTATGGCATTTGTTTCGCGCTGCCTTGAACATACATACACGTATTTTCAAAGATCAGTTTGATGGCGATCCCTATTCAGATAGGTATTTGTATTTGTATTTACTTCGCACAAGGAACGGAACCAGCAAAGCTCAGGTGGCTGACATTGAAATGCTCCCGTCTAACCCACTGTCTCCTTTCCCTCTGGTGCAGTCACAAATCTGGACGACTCGCGCCTGGAGCCACAGACGTGCGAGCCTTCGGCGGCGCCGCCGGAGCGGCACGACACCCCCTGGACTACGTCGGCCGGCTACGTCGAGCCCTACCAGAGCCCGCCCATCTACTACGGCCACCAGCCGAGCTACGCCGAGTCGTACTCGTACGCGGCCGAGAGCTGGGCGCTGCCGCCGCCGGGCGCGGCGCCGCTGCTGTGGTCGCCGGCGCCGGAGCCGGCCGGCCGGCCGCTGCTTGGTGCCGCCCAGACCGACTACAGCCAGCCGCCGCCGGCCGGCTGGGCGGACGGCCGCGACCCCAGCCCGCCGGCCTGGGGCGACGGACGGGAGCCCAGTCCGCCGCGGCCGCTGGGCGCCGAGTCGGTCACACCGCCGCAGCAGTACTGGAGCCCGCCGGCCACCAGCGGCCGCGACCCGCGCGCCACCAGCCCGGCCTTCTTCCCGGGGCCGCTGAGGTCGCCGGGCGCGCGCTACACCCTCACCGATGTGCGGGTCCAGAGACCGGGCCGCGCGCCGTTCGCCGGAGCTGAGGCCGGTGGCAGCCGACGCAGGAACCGGAGACAGAAAGGTGAGAGAGAGAGAGAGAGAGAGAGAGAGAGAGAGAGAGAGAGAGAGAGAGAGAGAGAGAGAGAGAGAGAGACGGGTTGGGGGTTTGAAAAAAGACAAGTGAAAAAATGTCCCAGACACGTTGGCACTGAATTGAAACTGGGATTCACCCGCAAGCTTTAAACCTTGCTGTGTTAACATTGCTTGTTCTATTTTCTCTGGCTCAAATATTGACAAATCATACGATAGCCAGCAAAGTTGACAACAATCAGCAAACAGCTAATGCCAGACGTCGGGGTAGTTTCCCTCCCTATCTCTTTTGTCCAACAACACTCAGTCCGCTTCCCATTCCGGCCCATGCCGGACCTCTATAACCCTTCCCGGTACGTTCCGTGCTCGAGTCGGCTCTTGTGTCGACCACTCCAGGTTGGAGTGAAGTCGGTACCGTCCCGGGACAGGGACGCGGCCCGGCCCACCCGCCCGCCAGGCCTCTCCTTCACTGTGTTTGGTCTGGTGTGGCCGGGAACCACCGTCTCGCCGCGGCGGACGGGCACGGCGGGCACGGCCACGGTCATAGAGGTGGGCACGGCCACGGTCATTGGAGGGTCGGCTACGGCCTCAGACTATAATGGGATTTGGGAAGACCTGCGCCGAGTTGTTTAGCAGCTCTCTCTTGGTGTGATCCATCCTGCACGCGTGATAAGCGTGGCCAAGTGGTCAATTGGTGGTCAGGTGGTCATTTGCATACTTGAGCCTGCCCTATAATTGAGAGCCTGGAAAAGTGATTTCGTAGAAGACCAATGAAAATTTTACAATTTCCCTGAGGTATTTGGATTCATTTGTAGTTTGCTGTTTGGCTCATAGCCTAGGTCATCTAACCTGCAGGGGGTCTCTTGTTAGTGAAGTGATAAATGACAGCTGAACTCACCTCTTCTGTCATATGCGTGATCACAGATCTCTGTACATAGAGGTTTATGACGTGATGTAAACCTCAGTATTATTTCATCGCGTCGTAACTCGTAGCTCCTCGGCCGCACGTGTCATTCCGCCCGTTACGTCAGCCGAGCTGAGGACGCCGGACGTAACCGCAAGTCACCGCCCGTGCGCGACTGTGCCCGCGGGGTCGGCTCGAGTACCGAGAGAGCTGTCATCCAAACACCCCTCCCTCCAATCCGCCCTGACCAGATCAGTATACAATTAGCTCACTTCAGCCACAGAACAGAGTCGGTGAAGTCACTAAAGAGTATAGCGGAGAACGCTAATAGAACTGTCAACCCATGATCGTCCACGCGGTTTGGGATCCGTGCTTCTCGCGTTTAGACTTTACTATGTCCGTTCTAGCTGGGTCCAATTCATCTGTCGTTTGCTACCTGGGTCCCAAAATCTGAGCAATCCTGCCGTGTAATGTGTATTTGTGTGTAATTGTCCCGATATCGTGTTACATGAACGACAGTGGTGTCGCGGGGTCATTGTAGGACAGTATGTCTGCTGTCGGAACCATGAATGTCTGTGCTGTCTAGGATATGGGATCTGAGTCCCGAAATGTCTGTCCCGTCTGGGCTTAGCACATCTATCGGGCTCCGAGTGCCCGCACCAGCGTCCCAAAGCTCTTAGTCGGCTCAGTCAACACACACAAACATACAGCTCGGCGAAAGTCAACAGCTCGCCCGGCCGACGGGAAGCCCCGTGAAGCTTGGCCGGCGTATGAGGTCTCACGGGTCAGAGGGCGCTTTAGGCATGGGTGATACAGTACAGACTACAATAGGCAATCGGGCATCATGGCGACAATAACCGAAGTTCGCATTTATTATATGAATAACAGGGTTACGTCTGCCTCGGCAGCGGATGAGTACCGTCAGAGTCAGATATTGATTTAGGTGGCTAACTCACTCGTGTCAAGGGCTATGGCACCTCGGCTGCTTATATAGTTAATGTTGTTCAATAGCGTGGCCTGTGAACGTTTTAGGCTTTACCCGCGAATCGCGAATGGCGGCGAATCGGATCGGGCATTCTGAAAAGGCACGGCAGTAGTCAGTAGAAAGTGTTGAGTATGTTATGCTGAAGCTCTTTCACTTTCGGAGTGGGTAGATCCGTGTAAGGGATAATTGGGTCAGCGTTTTGAAGGTCAAGAGACTTGACTGAAAATGAAACTGACTCTGCTAGTTTTAGCTTTGTGTATATCCACGAGCGACACTCATTCACTCATTCACTGTATATAAGGAATGTGATGGTTCTCACGCCAAAAAGCGTAGTGGTACTGGGAGCCATGAATGACTTGTGCGTCTTCTTTCAAAATCCTTGGTTGTTCTCTCCTGCAGAAGAAGCCTGGCGCGTGTTGCCTTTTGTAACGACATTAACTAAAGCTGAGATCACATCACTCAAGATAAGATCTTAATGTACTACACGCGTTACGCTGTAAGCCGATTAACGCTTGAGATGTCTCTTTTAAAAATGATCTCCTCTAACCATTGTGAGATTCTGAGGTTAACCACACATCTCGCTAGAAGGGATTTTCTTACTGCTGTGGTATTGGTCGCAAAACTGCTGATGGGTCTGACATGTGACGGCGCTCTTTCTTATCGTTCTTACCGAATGAGTTGATGACATTAGTCTCCAATATCTCTTAACACAGATTGTGTCATGTTCATATAACTTGACTTGACATTGACATGGCAGATTAAAGCGGCTACCACTATCAAGCGTGCCTGCCCACACAAAGCGTTTTTCGCCAGTTGCTTCGGGCATTTCTCGTGATTAATACCGATGAAGCAAAACAGCGTGACCCTATCTCCCGGCTACCATGCACCGCCTCAGAATCTGTTTGCGTCGAATCTGTGAGCTTTTAATTACCGCATTTTTACGTGTAAGTGCCGGGTGGTGCGTTGCGTGCGCGTGCACCGGCGTGGCTGGGGTGCGTGGTGTAATAATCCGGCCTGTGCGCGGCGGAAGTCGGGTGAAAGGTGACGCAACAACAGACACATGTCTGAGGCGCTGCAACCTGGAGCCGCGCAGAACCGCAGGCCACGCAAGATTCCAGAATTTCAATACCTATTACCTTTGTCAATCATCCGCGTGAGAACTGGGTCTGACCTGGAATCAAGTCGACAGTTGTATAGGTACAACTAGCCTTACATAATCTCTAGCTGTCTACGGCAGGCAAATTGGTAGTCATCGCAGTTTGGTTAGAAATTATAGTTTCAATACCTGAATGTGTAACGGCTGGTGGCCTTCTCCAAACCTGACCCCTCTGCTCCCTCTGACAGGTCAGCCGAAGATCGGAAAGCTGTGGCAATTTCTGCTGGCGCTGCTTCACGACAAGTCCCACAACCCCTCCATGATCAAGTGGGACGACTTCGAGCAGGGACGCTTCAAGTTCGTCCAGAGCGAGGCCGTGGCGCGCCTCTGGGGAAGCAGGAAGGGCTATGAGACCAACATGACCTACGAAAAGCTCTCCAGGGCGATGAGGTAAGGCCACGTGCTGCGCACTGTTTATTTGTGAAGCTTACAAGGAAAACGCCAAGCTGCCGACCTACCTCAACCAACCCCTTTAGTGAGGGAGCACCATGGCACTCACGCGAACGGCTAGGTTTTCCTATGAGGAAACGGTCGCCGTCAGTCTCATTTGGTTGCTGCTGGCTGGTCGGCGCGCCTCCTGCGAGGGTCTTCCTCGTGCCACGTGACTAGCGGTGGTGGCGGTGGGCGGCGGGTGGAAGGGGGTTTCGGTGCTGTTGGAGTGCTCAGTCATTGTGTGTACTCTGCATTGACGGCTGGGGATCCCCTGGCTACCTTGGTGCGAAGAGAACCTCAGCGACGCCTTTCGAACTGGTAAACTTCGTCTATCGGGTAGTACCCTGAGGTGCTCGTTGTATGAGCTCTGTCGGCTCGGCCAAGTGTCTGAGTCTGCGGGTACTAGCCCTGTGTGGAGGCTCAGGTGTAGTCGGGTTTGATAGTCTCCTCGGCCCCCCTCCTCCCCATGCCTCCCCTGTCCCTGACCTGGGGCGGGTAAATCCTTGGTGCCTCACCGGTGCCTATCAGTTCAGATGAGTGCGGGGGTGCGGGCAGCGGTTCCGTGTAAACGTTTCACAGAGATAGTGCGGCTTCACTTCAGTGACGGTTGACTCACATGGCACATAACAGCAGATGACACTATTTCGGGACGATGGTAACTACCCAATTATTCGTCTAGCTCTCAGGCGATAGGTATCGCATTGCCGTTGCAGATTGTCGTAGGATGACGCTGAGTCTGAGTGTGCTGTGTGTGCTGCGATATTCATCCTGGCGATCATGAGAGGGATCACCCGAAAAACAAAGGGCGGCCCTGGCGCCGACAGCTGTACCGTGAACGGGCGATGATTTAATCGGTGAAGGGAAGCACCGTTTATTTTAAGTCTAGCGGGATCAGGCTGCTCCAAGAAGGGCAGCAGCACGCAACTATCTGATAGGCTATGGTTTGCCCATCACGACTGAGCTGTGGCCGCCGTGTAATTCAGGCCCTTCAGGATTTACACATGAATTCCCAAGAGCAGGTAGTTCAGCTTACGTTACGTCAGCCTCTGTCACATCGCTAAGACTCCGTTTTGCATACAACGCTTCCATTTGACTAAGAAGTCTTCCGGTTCCGTGCCACTAAAGACGGTCTGCCGACGGTAAAGCCTCCCACATCATTATTACTCATCAGCTCCAGGGCAATGGAAAACCCATCGAATATGACGCCGCACTGCTCATGAGTCAACTGTTATTTGATGCCGGCTTTTTTCACGGCATCGTGGTCCCGATTGGGCTGGTCTGCTGTGGCCGCCAAGGCGTCTGTAGCAGCGAACTGGGGCGGCGTCAGCTCACTCCTTAGCCGGCGCCTCAGCCTTGACGGGCCGTGAAAGCTGCCGGTGGACCGGCCTGCCCGCCTGGCACCGTGCAGTGTCCTTGCGTGTCCGCCCGCCGGTCCTGTCGGTGCATTCCGCGCCGTTGACACGACCGAGCTCCAGCGTGCTTCCAAAAAGTTCATGTTGCAACTGCGGCGCGATAGCCGCTCATACCAGCCGGCACTGCTGCTGCTGCCGCTGCTCCAGTTTTAACGTCATTGTCCGCCGGCCGCAAAAAGGCGATTTATGCAACTAGATCAGATAGGGTGGTGGACGCGGGCGTCTCGCGGCGGCCGGCCGGTCGCCGGCCGCTGCTCGAGGACCGCCATTGTGTCCATCGCGAGCAGACGGAGAAAGGCGGCGCCCGCACCGGCCAGGTTTTTTATCGGCGCGCCTGCAGCGGGCCGCGGTGGCGGCTCGGCTCCCAGCAGGCCGCGCCGTGCGCCCCCCGCTCACCGCTCTGCGGCCCCTGGCTGTCGGCCGACCACAGGTGGTCACTCCGAACCGCAGCATGCACACTGCACCGAGAACCGGCCCGGCAAACAGAGGGGGCCATGAGAGGCTCCGTTCGACCCGCAGATAGGCCGGCACGCGCCGCCAGGTACCGCTCAGCGGCGCCCACATTGCCCGGCCTTGGCCTGGCCAACCCGACTCTTGGCGGCGAGGCGAGTCAGTCAGATTTCGCACTAGCCTAACGCCTTTTCGATAAATAGGTGTGCGTTTTCCGTAACCACGCTCTATGCCACTTACATTATGGCATTTCCGAACATGATAATCACCCTGCGCATGAGCCAGCATGCAACACGCAACCGGGCCGCGGTGCGAGCGACGTGGACCGGACGTCTCGGTCGGGCCGCCGCAACATCCGACCCGATGTTAGGACAGGACTGACACGGGCCCAGCGACCAGTTTGGTTTGTCTAGTTGTGCACGTGCACTGGGGTCCGGTCGGTGCTCGGCATTGCACCGTGCTCTGCAACCGTCACCTGTGAATAGCGAAAGTTGCGACAGTTTGAGAAGAAATGATCCAGTTCTCGCTCCTAAGTGGCCCGGTCTGCGTTTCGTTTTCTTGCGATCGCCGTTCGGTAGTGGTCAGTGGAGAAGCTATTGAGAAGGGACCGGGTGTGTTGCACCGGCTGGGTGGGGTTTCTTTTCGTCGAATTGATTTCGAACTCTTATCTATTGGAAATTAGAAAAACCAGATAACTGGAGCAGAGCAAGAAACACGTGAACGCCACTATGAGTGCAGAGGCTAATGGACGTCAGACCTGCTAAGATTTTGTCACTTTTATGACATGCTCTGCAGCCCTCATCGTGTTCAGAACTAAGCGTTCCCTGCCGTTCGTTTGCATTATTTACTTTCGTGTTCGTTTCATGTGCAGACACCTGCAGCATTACTGCAGTCGAAGTGCTGAGTCACTGTGTATAGAGCGAGCTGAAACACATGCCGCGCACTGACGCGGTCCGCTGGTCATTGTGGGTACAGTGACCGTTTCTGACCGGAGGCGTCCGTTGCAGATACTACTACAAGCCGGGCATCCTGGAGCCAGTGGTCGGCCGCCGTCTGGTCTACGCCTTCGGGCCCAACGCCGACTGGAAGACGCCCCCGGATGTGTCCCTCGTCTGAACGAGCCGAGTCGGAGTCGGAGTCGTTCAGGGACTCCCGGTCGGCCGCCGCAGCTGAACTCTGGACTCGCGCGTCCGGCACCGGAATCTGCGGTGGACTCAGCGCAAACCAGCGACCGACCAAAACAGAGCGACTGCGGAGGCAGCGACTGGCACTCGGACAAACTGAAAATGGAGTCGCCATGGCTCGCTCTTGCTGTACGCGGACGCAGCTTCAGGCCGTGGACAGCCGGTATCTTATCCCGTGCCTTTTTAGTGCCTGGAGGGCAGGTCGCGTGCCCGCTGAGTGGTCCAGAGCAGGCCGCTTCCGCCGGAGGCCGTCAATGCTGCCGCGGTGGCTGTGGTTCGAGTCGGGACAGTGTGAGCCGCTGCTCTATCAGCGCCGTCACGACCGGACCGAGCGAGCAGGGCCGCCGACCCCGCTGTTTTCCCGACATACGCTGCAGCACAACGTCATCAACAGCGTGCGAACGCCACGCGCGCCGGCAAACAGCGGTACCGCCGCCGCCGCTCGGAAACGCGTCCGATCTCAGCAACGCACGTGTGGAGGAAACTTCCACACGCTAAACGTGGACGCGCTTGTAATTGATTTTTCGCAACTTTTGTGTAGGTGTTGCATGAAACGTGTACTTTTGTAGACATGTGTGACAAACTGGGAGAGTTTGATATTCCCAAGACGTTGCGCTAGCGTTTTAAATGTTCATTGTCAAATATGGTAACGTTATTGTCAACAAACTTGCGTTCAACGCAGCCTTTCAAAGCAATGCCACATCGGTGGCTGTTGGGCACTGACCCGACTGGCGCGCTCCGTGCCAGGCATTCCACTGCGCCCCACGTGCCTGTCTTTGGAGCCCCACCTCCGGGACGTGCCCCGTGGTGTTCCGCCGCCCATCCCCACCCACCCCACGACCAGCCGCAGTGTCCGGGACGGCCTGCCGCTTCCGGCGCCTCTGTCACCCCCGGTCCGACCACCGCACCCGCGGTCTCCGACCCGCCGCTCGTGGGCCGCAGGGGGCTGCTCCAGATGTGCTCCCGGAGCTGTACCAGCTGCGGACACTGCGGGGTCGCGTGCCGCGCCGTCACCTACTCCTGGGGGGACGAGGAAGTCCTGTTCCGAACTCTCCCGCGCCCCCCCCCCCCCCACGTGGCGCGGGAGCCGGCGGCGGCGATGCGGGCGGTGGTCCGGGGATTTTTGGCGTGGCGCGTCACGCCGCGGCGTGCCGGCCGTGCAGCGGCGGCGGCGGCGGCGGCGCTGCTGATTTCAGGAGACGCCGTTCGTGTGGGCCGCCGGCAAACAGGGCCACTTGCGGCCCACCGAGCGCACGAGCTTTTCGGGCAGAACTTGCCGACGGTACCGACCGGTGCGCTGCGCCGCTCCGTGGGCCCGTGCCGGGCACCGAGGACGCTGTTTGAACTTGGCAGCGGGGTGGTGGGCCCCGGCCGACCGGCCGCTCGCCTGACGGGCACGCCGCTCGCCAGATCGGCCCTCGGATCGGCGGCGGTCGTCGCGTGACACAACTGCAGGCTATCAGGGGCACAGCACACGGTCTAACGGGTTTTCTGGGAGTGGCCGTTCGGCGGGCCGGGGCCACTCGCCACCATGCGGCCGCACATGCAACTGATACAGATGTAGGCTGTGTTCGACGCTTTCACAACCGGCGACGCCGGCCTGCATGTGCAAGTGTGCTTGTAGCTGCCGGCTGGACGGTCACGAAGAGCCACGGCCGCGCTCGGCGCTGTCTGCAGGCCGTCTCTCCCCTGTCTGCAGGGCTGTCTTGCTGCAGCGTTCGGCGCTGTCTGTAGGGCGGAGTTGGCCAGGCCGCTCCGTTCCCGCGGCCTGGTCTCGTACCTGACCATATGTCCCGTCTCGCCCGAGAGGCTACCAGACAAGAGGGTTGTTGAAAAATGTACATAATGTCAAGAGATGTTCTGCCATCGCCGTCGGGTCACATGGACCACTCGCGAGAACCCCGCAGCGTAGAATTCCACAGGCGATGATGTGCTTTAAGATGTAGAAGGCCTGCAATGTGTGGTCTGTTTTGCGGTGTTCGGCGCTTCCGTGTGCATGTTGATAAGAGTTTTGGTACTGTGAGAGGTATTTATATGCGTCTGATGCGAGTGTACAACTGTGCGATGTAAATAGAATGGAGCAAGCGATTCCATGACTTGACTGCCGGCCATGGTCATAGTTTAATATTTACTGGTATTTATTGTTGTATTTAATCATGCAATGCTCAATACAGACCAGAATCGGATAGTCGTCTTTATCGTGGTGAAACATCTCCAACGAGATTGAATGGACGTCGAGGAGCCTCTTGGCACTTTGTCCTTAGTGCGGTACAACACCTGCTTCTAAAGCATGTGGGGTCGAACAGGAACATGTCTTATCAGGGTGTTTGAGGAACTGGTGGCCTCTGGGTAGGAGGAAATAGTCTTCGCCACTGAATGATCACTGCGTCTCAGTTACCGAGTGACTGACGAGCCTCAGTTACTGAGTGACCGCTGGGGCATTCCACGATAGATCGTACCAGGCCCGTCACCCTCATCTCTCAGATTTTAATGAAAATCGGTCCTAGGGGTAATCATAGGCCCCAAAGACGCCTGGCAAAATATCAGACTTCTCAGATCAAAACTTTTTGAGTTATATTGCATTACATTTTTTTAACTTCGGTTTGTAACGGTGAGTTTGATGGCCTATAACTCAAGAACGGGTTGAGCAACCAACAAACAGTAAACAACACTAAGCTTGCAATGAATCAGCCTCTAATGACTTTTGGGACCAAAATTTTTCACATTTTTATTTTTTCAAAATAAACTTCATGTCATTGCAAATCGACACGCAAAAAATTAGAAAGGTGTTCTTTCTATAAGTTCCTCATTTTCCCGCAAACAAAATGGGTTTCGGAGGGGTCGATACGACCCCAGCACGCCGTTTCGCTTCTAATAGAGCTAGAGCCTCGTGGAAAAAACGAGCGTGTGTGCCATTACAAGTCGCAGCGATTGATACCCGATTTTAAGGTCTCAGGTTAACCGGTAGGGTCTGAGGTCAGGTCAAGTGACTGAAGTTACGGGTTCGGTTTTTAGTAAATAATTTCGCAAAAAATGGCCGCAGAGCCGCGATTTTGGCATCATTGTGTTCGCCTAGCTCAGGTGCATCGAATGGTATACTTTTTGCTAGGGTGAGGTCAACTTAAGTAGTTGACCTCGGGTCAAGGTCAGGTCAGAGCCCCTCAGGTCACGAAGCTGGGCAAAGGGTATCATATGGCATATCATTCGATTCGGAAGGTCTTCCCGAGTCCATTGGTGGCTTCCGCGACTCTCTAGCTCCATTTGATCGGGAGTTATTGATGAAAAACTCGTACCACCCTAGTGACGTCATAAATGACGTCACGCAAGGTTAACAATGCAAAAGTGAAGCATTGGACTTTGCAAGGAGTGCATGAAATCACGATACCATGTACGTGAGATAGTTTTAGATCATTCTCGGCGCCAAAATAACAGTTTTTTATATTTCCCCATTGACTTATAACAATGATGTCACGTGACCGACCTGACCTCATGTAACCTTAAAAAAAATTCCCAGATAGGTATACAAGTTGTGAGACCTCTGGAGGATACCATGGATGCGTCCTGTAACTTTCATCTCGGACAGCTATGGTCATTGGCTTTCAAAACAATGTCAGAACCAAACAGCCCTTTTCACCCTCGCGCTTATAGGAAAGAGGGTTGGATGAACCCTCTTTTCACTTTTTTTCAGATGACTCAGACTTCAATTGAAATTTCAGTAACCCGTGATGTCACTAGGCAGCTTTACCACGCCATTTGTAAGCTCCCTCCCGAAATCACTATTCGAAACCGTTATCGTGACGTAAAATAAATACATTTATAGAAAGAACACCTTCCTAATTTTTTGCATACTTCTTAACAATGAGCCAAATATTCTTTTAAAGAAATAAAAATTCAAAAAAATTTGTTCCCAAAGTCCAAAAAATACAAATGAAAGAAAACTCGATATGTCATATATCAAAAATAGCGTATTTTTCGAAATTTCAAAAATACATATTAATCTCTGTTTCATTGCAAGTTCAATGTTATAGGTATAACATTTGGCATTTGAATAATCCGTCTTAGAATTACAGCACGCCAAACTTAGCGCTGCAAAGCAAGATCCAAAAAATGTTATAGGTACCCTATAACTCAAAAAATACTTATCTGATTAGCCTGAAATTGTTACAGGTGGATTCAGAGCCCCTGATTACCATTGAGACCAATTCTCGTCAAATTCCGAGAGATGAGGGTGTCAAATTGGAAAAAAGTGGTACGATCTATCGTGGAATGCCCCCACAGTGACTGACGGGCCTCAGTTACTGAGTGACCGCTGTGACCGGCGAACAGTGACCACAGTGACCGGCGGGCAGTGACCACAGTGACTGACGGGCCTCAGTTACTGAGTGACCACTGTGACCGGCTAACAGTGACCACAGTGACCGGCGGGCAGTGACTGCTGTGGCCGGCGGGTCTGGGTCACCGAGTGACCGAGCTGTCTGGGTCTGGTCACCGAGTCTCGATCTGGGTCACCGAGTGACCGAGACCGAGTGACTGGGGGCGGGGGCAGTGACCACAGTGACCGGCGGGCAGTGACCGCTGTGACCGACGGCCCTCGGTCACCGAGTGACCGGTCTGACCGACAGCCGCGGTATCGCCGACGTCCCCCGTGCGGGATTCACCAGCAGCGCTCCTCCGCCGTCCACATACGCCGATAGCGCCGATCGTCTGCCTTGGAGCCCCGCCACTGCACTGGCGGCGAGGATAGTGCTTTGGCACCTCTCTTTTGTTCATCAATTTTGCCTTAAAAATACTCATAAGTACCTAAAGAAAAGCTCTAGGGGTAGGTAAACGTCTCACCAAAAGGCCGACCATAAAACAAAAACCAGATATCTGCTGGCTGTTTGATGTAAGGAATTGAAGAATATTGTCCATATGCTTGTTTTGTTTGTTTATTTAGTCTCGAACATCCACAGGCATATGAGCCCATTCGAGAACGAACTAATTTTCGTGGTGTTAAACGTCATTTGTGATATCATGCATTTGTTTTATAAGTGAATGACACATGACGTCCAAAAACATAAAAAGTTAAACGTTTATAATCGCTCATCATTACAAAAAAAAATATTATCTCACGAGTTATTAGAAAAAGACTTTTCCGAGCAGCGTATGTACAATGGCCGTTTTTCAAGGAAATTCGGTGCAGTAATCGGAGCGGATGGTCGTTGGCCGGCTCAAACGGTATTTTTTTTTTCCACTTTATTTTCAATACAATATAACATTTTCATGTGCACACTTTGGTTTTACACTTAGCATACCTTACATTACACATTAGGTAATACATTGCATACTTCCATTTCACACACATTTTTTCCTGCCCCGCCCCGCATCGCCCCGCGAAATTACACATATTCCCGTTCTCGCTGGGGCGATGCCCCAGGCCGCCGGCCGGGCCCGCGACCCGTCAACCCGATAGGTTGGCGAGCCGCGCGCCCGGCCGGCCGGCCGACCCTTTATAGTGTCGGCCTCCGGTTAGCCGGGTTGGGTTAGGGGCGGGCAGGACGCGTGAACTCCTTTTTCCCGTGGCTCCATCGTCCTCAGCTATAGGGACAACACTACGGAAACAAACACCATCGTGCGTGCACAAACACCGGTCGTGGTGGCTGTTGCCACCCCGACCTCTGCCCCCGCCCGCGCCGCCCCGCACCTCGGTGCGTCTACTCACGCGAGGCGGCGCCCCCTGACCACCGGCCCGCCCCACGGGCCACAGGCGGTCCGAGGGACGGGCCGGCGGCCCGGCCTGCCCAGCATATGCTGGGGGGCCGGGCACGGGTTGGCCCGGATGGGGTAGGGCGGGGGCCACAAATCGCACGAGGCGACGCTAACTCAATAATCACACAACAGAGCCAAGAGGTGCCACCCCTGGCCACATAGCCTCTTGGCAAGCGACAAGATCTCGAGTCCCCCAACCCCACCTCCCCCCCTCCCTACCCACATTTACTAAACGGCACTCTGTACATTCAGCTAAATACATCATCTATGGATATTTCAAATATAGTTGAGTGGTCCCTGTCCACTACAAATTTCCACCTCTCTCTAAATTTTTCTAACGAATTTTTGTTTTTTGCAATTACTCCTTCTGCACGACAATGGTTTATGATCCCTCCTATTGCCCCGTTTAATGACGGTCTAATGTAATCTTCTCTTAACTTACATGATGTTATATATTGTTTGCAGAGCAATAGTATCAAATTTACTACATCAGGGGCTTGTGTATACCCAAATATTACCGTGCTGACGGAAACAAAACTATCGGGGAGATCAAACTTATTCTTAAGCCGGGGCAGTACAACATCCCAAAGTCCAGTAACATCTTCACAGAGGTAGAAGAAATGTTGCAGGGTATCGACCTCAAAACAGGTTCTACACAGCTTGCTCCCTATAACGTTTCGGGACCAAAGGAATTTGCGGGTTGGAATATACCTGTGAAGGATGCGATACTGCAGGGACTGAAGTTTAGTAGACGTGGTACATTTATATGGCAATTTATATATACTTTTCCAGCATTGAATATGAAATCCCTCTTCTTCCCACTTACTCTGGGCGGTTGGAGACCGCCATACCAAAAGGGAATCGTAAAACTGCTGGTTTTGAAGAGATCTCAAGCAAATTTCTTTGTCTGCACTTATATTTATAAGACAACAACTCCTATCCTCGGGGCTCAATGGCGTTTGATGGTCATGTTTAATTAAGTTTTTCCACTTCGTTGGTATTGCATTTTTAATGCTCTGAAAACTAAGGAAATGTATTCTAGCCTGTGGGTACTTTGTTTTGAACCTGTTAAAATTCAATAGGGATCCATCTGCTTCAACTAAATCATCAACAATTTTCACCCCTATTTCGTATATCTGTTTCAAAAACACCGGCTTTCTATCTACATTTATATTATCGTTATGCCAAATGGACTCCAGTCGAGCTTGCTTTGCACTTTTAACTTCCGTCGAAAACAAAGTCTGATATAGCTCAATTATTGACTTATAAAATTGCGGTATGCTCGCTTCTTTAACAAACCGTTTGGCATTACGATTTTTCAGTAAGTCATTACGGAGCGAGCGAAGCGAGCGTAGTCTTTCCTTAGATTAACGGAAATTTCTGAGTATGAGCGGCCGGCCGGCCGGCCGGCCGGCCGGCCGGCCGGCCGTGGTCACGC